AAAGTAAAAAACACATATGAAAAAGATAGAATAAACAACGCAGGTAAAAATAACAAGAAACTGTGGGAAATTATCAAAGACATAACATATACGAAAAGAGTGAATGAACAATCCACTCAACTAATTTCACCTGAAGATCCTCTTAAATCTGTCAACAAAGTAAATTCATTTTTTGCAACAATAGGAATGACTCTAGTAGAAAAATGTAAGCAAAATAACCCTATTTTCCAAGCTGACTTCAGTAATACAGATTCATTCCCCCAATCACTGGCTCTTTTACCCACAGACGAAGATGAAGTCAAATCTCTTATTTTAAATCTAAAAAATGATTGTGCGGTAGGTCTTGATAATATATCTGGCAGTTTGCTGAAAAGATATGTAAATATTCTTACTGAACCAATAACGTTCATATGCAATAAGTCCTTCGAAACGGGAGTCTTTCCACGAGCCTTTAAAAAGGCTAAAATTACTCCAGTTTTCAAAAATGGGGATAGATGCTGTGTCAACAACTACAGACCTATCTCTATTCTACCAACCATGTCCAAAATTATAGAAAGGCTGATGAATAATAGGCTAGTAACATTTCTAGAAAAAAATAATCTCCTATCTCAGTCCCAGTTTGGTTTTCGTGCCAAAAGATCTACCTCTGACGCAGTACATCTGGTAACAGATTATATTGTTTCAAATTTAGATAAAAAGAATAAAACAATAGCAATATATCTGGACTTAGCAAAGGCATTCGACACAGTATCTATTCCCATCTTGATCAAAAAACTTGACCACCTAGGAGTAAGAGGGTTACAGCTGAAGTTATACGAGGACTACTTGCATGGAAGAACCCAGGTAGTTAAAATCGAGAACTGGGTAAGCGATGAATTACCTATTGAGTGTGGCGTCCCTCAGGGTAGTATCCTTGGCCCGTCATTGTTTCTAGTCTACATAAATGATCTATGTCAAACAGAATTAAAGAATGGAAAAATCGTATCGTTTGCGGATGATACTGCCCTACTTTTTCATAGTGACACATGGGAAGACGCGTTTAGATGGGCTCAACAGGGTCTAGACGAAGTAACTCGATGGCTCACTAAGAATCTACTCACACTCAATGTTGGGAAAACTATGTATATGACCTATAGTAAAAGAACGCAGGAACATACAAACTTACATTTAACCGCACACACTTGCCACATAACTCCTCCAGGAACATGTCACTGCCCTGAACTAAAAAAAACAAACAACATTAAGTACCTCGGTGTTATTATCGATGATAAACTCGACTTCCAATTACATATTGAGGCACTAACCACCAGAACCCGCAAATTAATCTTTATTTTTAGGAATCTTCGCCATGTAGCAGATAACAAAATAATTAAAACTGTATACTATGCCTTATGTCAATCCGTCTTTACCTATTGCATAACGTCGTGGGGTGGTGCAGCCAAATCTTACTTACTCAAGTTAGAACGAGCCCAAAGGGCTATCCTTAAAGTAAGTTTATTCCTGCCTTTCCGTTACCCAACCTATGATCTATATCAGCGATTCAATGTTCTGACAGTTCGCCAGCTATTCATCCTGTACACCGTTCTAAAAATGCACTCTCAGCTACCATTTAATTCGGATAATTCCACAAGCAGGAGAAGACTTACTACCGTCTGCCATATAGAAAGAAAACATTTTGGTTTCACTCAAAACTTTTTTACCTTTTTAGGCCCATACCTATATAACAAAATAAATAAAGAGCTAAGCATTCATTATCTCACCAGAAGTAAATGTAAAGAAAGCGTCAGCGACTGGCTAAATAAACTAGACTATGAGGAGACTGAAAAAATTCTGAGACCACTTTCCTAAGCTACAACTGATGCAGAATTATCAATCACTACATTCATATCAACACTTCCACCTCATTCACTTACCTATACATACCCACACATAATACACATCAACTCACTCACTTACATACACATATACACGCACTCACACTACATTGTTACACACCCACAGTCACACACACACACACACACACTCATACAATGTTGTCCTTTTTCTTTAATTAAGTAAATACCTTGTATTGTTCAATGTCTCCGGGGGTCACCCGGGCCTGGTGATCTGTAACACAGGTTATACCTTTAACAGACACCAGTCTCTCTTTATTGTAACATATTATATAATTTGTATCCTTAGAGTATTTTGAGAAAATAAAGATTTTTTTTTTTTATTCAATTTTATCAAAGTAAACTTTATTACAATTTCATTTGTTTTTCGTATTGTCTGTCGCTAAATTATGTAGCTGATAGGTATTCCATTATAGTTAGAGAGATGACGACCAAAATTTTTGTCTCATAGCAATACGGCCAAAACCGCCTCAAATCGATAGATACGATTATCCTGAACTCGAAAATACCAATATCAGACATTTTCCGCGTAGCGTTTGATCTGACCACAAAAACACCAGACAAAAAAAATGTCTCATAGCAATACGTCTGAAAACCTTTTTTATTTGTAAATTTTGGTTATTTGATGCGAACAAAACAATTTTCAGACGGAAATGTGAACGCATTAAATATTGAGACCGTTTTGAAAATGTTAACAAATTTTACCGATCGGTATCATGGCAATATGTCTGAATATTGTTGGACATGATAAAATAAGTTGTCCACATGTGCAAAAAATGTATATCAGACAAAATAAATGTAGCACCTTCTCTATCAGACAACTTTTCGATACTCAGATATTTTTGACACAGCAGAAATGGCCTCCCACGCAGTTGCTACACTTTCAACCGTTACTACACACCTAGTCGGGTTCAGAATCATACAATCTAACGATTTTATAGGGTTTGTGCCGTATTGCTATGAGACATGGTTTTGGTCGTCATCTCTCGTACTATTATGTTTCCTGTATACGAACATTTCTGAAAAAATATGTTAGATAGTTTTAAGTCTATTTATTTCCTTAGTCTATTTGGAACTTACCTATTCCTAGCTTTATACGACAAATCAGTCGTTGACATTGATAAAGTGTTAATGGTGAATAAATGACTTGAGCGATAATAAAACTAATTTGTTACTTTTTTAAATACATAGATTGGACATTTAATTTGCAATTGAAATATATTATATAAGTTACCTACACAATTCTGCTGCAAAACATAACAATTATGATATTAGAGCCTTAGAGGTATAAAAACTTCATAATCACCTGTGCTACGTTTAACATGATAAATATAATGGCTGTGTCAGGACTGTTAGGTGTTAGGTATTGTAATTACAGAATATTTTAATATTACCTATATTTTATTTACTAATGCACAGAAGTGCGGTTGTAGAACCAGTTTGGCAGTTGTTATGTCAGCAAAACAACACATTTTGGTTTAATTTTTTATTACAATGGAGATCAATACATATTAATGTACTTATATTTGCTTGTGCCTTTGCCCATATCATATAAATTCTTGTCATAGCTGCTAGCTGCTAGGTAACTATAGCTAGTTACCTGATATATCTAAAAATAACAAACAAAACGTGAGTTGGTTAATGTTACTACATTTGACACAAAAATTTTGTTAAAATATGCGTTTGTTAACATAATGTACGTTTGTATAGAATACTTAAATAAATTTTATAAATTAAATTATATGTAATGTAATGTCAATAAGGCTGTCAATTTCAGATGTGTCAAATGGAACACGAATTTCGTGATACTTGAACTTTCGTGAGTGAAATTCGTGTTTACGGTATTTTTAGTATGTGTGATTTCATGTGTTATAATATAACATCATAACATCACGCCTTTTTATCCCCGAAGGGGTAGGCAGAGATGCACATTACCTCTATAATGCCACTGTACAATGTAACAAACACTTTTTACTATTTATATTATGAGTTCCACGTGATAGTGAGCCTATTGCCATATACTGGGCATAATTCTAGACTCCGTGCTACTACTAAGATTTTTATTTTAAAACCCAGTAATATTTTGCTCGACCCGGGAATTGAACCCGAGACCCTTTGCCTGGCAGTCGTACTTGCGACCACTCGGCCAATGAGGCAGTCAAATCGTGTTATACTGAGTTCATATTCCCGATCAATCCCGATGCCCGCATTTCCATCTATTTTCTATGTATACGTATCTATATCTGTCTGTACATATAATATGAAGTCGGTTAAAAATCGTAGAAAAGTCAAAACTGGATATTTAATATTTTTTTAAAAGAATACTTGGGGCGTGATCTGCAATCGATACCGAAGCCAAAAATATGGTTTTTGTAAAATTTTTTCTGTTTGTCTATATGATCTCAAAAGTTCTGCTTGAATATTACTAACAAGTTAGGTCAACATATAGTCTACATATGATCACGCTATCATCTACAGGGGACGAACTCTATACTAGGTACTGAATCAATTCGTTGGCGTAGAATATCCCTTGATAAAGACTAATTCAAAAATCTAAATTCTGCCAGAAGTTATTATACTACGCAGACGAAGTCGCGGGTAACAGCTTGTTTGCAATAAATTTGATGTTTCAGTCCGTAGTGAGATGAAATCATTTTAAAACTTTTACAAAACATACGGATTCCAGATTCAGAAACCATGTTAATTATATATTTAAAAAATGGTTTCAGTTTAAATACACCTTCCACACTTTAAAGGAGGAATTATTCATATATACTTATAACTCTTAACCAAAATGCAATAAGGTACATATTTACAAGGTAATCGGCTCTTCAGTTTAAGTTAAGCTGTGACTTAGGTGTCACGCAGTCAGTTATCATTAGAACAGCGCTAAGTAGATTTGTCCAATTAGCCCCGATTGTGAATAAAGCGAGATAGATGTATTAGATCTTTTTTTTCAAATCGATTCCTTAAATATTTGTTTGTTAGTTTAACACGTTAAACGCCATGGGGGTCACCGGAGACCGGCGTTAGCGGAGGATTTACCTTCAACAGTTTTTTATTGGTAGTCAAAGCCTTAATATACAAATAAACTGCCTGTCCATTTGTAAAATAAATGATCATGATATTAACATTTTGTTTTCCACCATTGATACAGGAAATTCAGTGATGATAAAAATTCCGAACTTCATTTGCAATTTAATATTAATATCGTAATACATTCAGGTTAATCAACTAGATATTTGTTTTATATTCCATTTGACTCTTACATTATTTATTTGTAGGCATCCTGAACGGCTTAAGATTATCTCTGAGTTTCGGATAAATAAAGACCTGTATTTTCGAATATGTTCTTGAAATTCTTAGCAAAAATCCTATTCCTGAATCACACCATCTTCAAGATTCCTGTTGTGACTAAAGTTTGTGTAGTTGTGAGTTGGCACGTGTCATTAACGTTGTTTAGTAAACAGTCTCGTATCAAGTATGGCTGGGCGTGGATATGTTTTGTTAAAGTTTACATTGAGCTACTAGTGATACCATCAGAACGACCAGTCATACTTGACCTCTGTGTTTGTACGAGTTTAAAAGCAATCCCGTTTTATTTGGTCTCATGTTCGATGGAACATGTAATTTTTTCTTTTTTCCAACAAAGAATTTAACTTTGTGCTTTGAATTTAATATGACAAAGGAGTCCTGAAAGCTATAAAACAAAAAAAAACACATACAAAGTTATAAAGAGAAAACCCAGCAATAAGTCGTCAAAAAACCCTGCCAAAAAGAATTATACAAACATTTTCACAATTCATAAAATTTCGTAGACATTTATAAAATTAAATTAGAGTTTCCGTTTTTAATTTTGTTCAGTGCCAGTAGCTGATTTAACGTGGAGGCTGTACATAAGATGTTACTGTACAAAGGTATGCTAATCTGTAATTTCTATGTAAATGAATTATATTGTCAGTGCAGATGTTACTGTTTTTCCATCTTATAAAATAATGGTACGGAGTGTTGGCATACGCCCTGCGCACTAGTTTACTCATACTTAGTTAACGTACATAGTATCTCCCTTAAAGCATGCTAGGAGGTAATGTATTGGGCTCGCTGCCTTTGCAGCGGTAAGTCCCCTCTTTGAGGAGTGGCTTGAGAGACGCTACGGTGTCCTCACCTACCGCCTGACGCAGTTCCTCACCGGACATGGGAGTTTCGGGAGGTACCTGTGTCTGATGGGGCGGGAGGAAACGCCCGGGTGTCATCACTGCGAGGACCGCCCTAAGGACACGGTGGAACACACGGTGGGACAATGCCCTGCGTGGGCTGAGCACCGCCGTGCCCTCAGGGAAGTGATCGGCGATGGCGACCTCTCGCGTCCGGGCCTAGTGCAGGCCATGATGCGGAGCGAGGGGGACTGGGATGCCGTCTCCTCTTTTTGCAAAGCAGTCATGCTAGCTAAGGAGGAGGCGGGACGCGTGAGGCAGCGAAGCGCTGCCTCCTCGCAACCCAGCCATCGCGAAGGACACACCGGGCGTCGGGGATCGCGGGACGATCTCCGGCCACCGTAAGCGCGGGCCTGCGGACGGCGAGCATGGGTGGCTCCCCGTCCGACCAGAAACAGACCCGAGCGTACGGCGCGTCGCGTTCCGCGCGCGCCTCAAAGAGCCATCAGACCACCACAGATGGGGCCCAATAGGGCCGATGCCGATTCGGAGTCGCGGAGAACCTAACGGGTAACCGGGGCTCCGGCTCGACGTGCAGGAGAAGGAACGGGGTGGTTTTTAGTCAGTAAGAGTCTGACACTCCCTCCCGCCTCACCCAGGCGGG